AGTCTCCTGCCTCTGCCTCCCAAGTAGCTGGGACCACAGGCGCCCGCCACAATGCCCAGTTATTTTTTGGTTGCAGCCATCATTGTTGTTTGGCGGGCCTGGGCTGGATTCGAACCCACCACCTTAGGTGTATGTGGCTGGTGCCTTAGACACTTGAGCCACAGGCGCCGAGCCAGAATCTGGGTCTCTTGACGCATGTTCTCTTTCTTGTTCCATGACAGTCACTGTGACCTTGATGGTTCATCTCTCCAGGAAGTGATGGAGGACACAGTTGGTGAAATGAGCCCACCCACTTTTTTGAGGTTTGCCCAACATTTGCATAAGCTACTGGCCACAGACAGGAAAACTAAGCTTCGATAGAATTGTTTTGATTGGGCCCAGAAACTATTTCCTAGCTTCTCTAACAGATATTATGTACTTTTTTCTCCCCCTGACAAAAATGGTTACTGTGTGAGCCAAAGGAAAATACCAAAAGAAAAGATGTTGGGTGTTGAAAATCTCTTTTATGACTTTCTTTTTGATTGTGGTTTGGCTATTAGATTAGGAAATAACTTTTATAAATGCATATAATTAAAAACAGATACAGGACATGCTGGATACGGACACATTTGGGAAGCATGGGGTCTGATGAAGGTGGGTCTGTGACCAGCTCGACTGCTCGTATTGTGACAGATCTTGTCACGCTGCAAAAATACCCAGGAAGTGCTATGGTGCTGTGCCACCTGGAATGCCTCCCCACGAATGACGGCAAGTCTTTGGTTGACTCTGGAAATCCAGGAGAGCTGGGCTGAGCTCGCTCACACCCGGGGCCCCCCTTCTCCCTGTGTGCTGCTGGCTGTGTGGCAGGGTTGCCTTTCGATGGGGCAGGAGGAGTCCTAACTTGTTCGTCCCAATTCAGACATCTCTGAAGATACTGAAACATCAGAGAAAGGCATCATTGTGTAACTGAGTTAATACAACATTGTGTTGTGCTGATAGTTCCAGGAAATGTAGCCAAAATACGTGTGAGAAACAGAACCTGGTTGTGAGGTCGGTATTGTTGGCATGTGTCAAGCGCTCTGAGGGAAGAATTTATTTCGGTTCAGGGAAGAGGCATGGCCGTGTTAGAGCAATTGTGAATACAACCGTTTGTGCTCTTACAGATGTGGAGTGGATAGAAAAAGTGTCTCGAGGAAAGACGGCATTTCGTACAGCAGCACCTTTATCTGCTGGAGTGAAACAACTGGCACAGCCAGATATTTAGAAGCCACCTTTGAGAGCTCGGGATGTGAGGAGTCTTATTTAGATACAGGACGTGTTTTATCAGTGACTTCTTTTCATGAAAAAAGCAGAAATTGAGGGTGTAAACTGAGAGATCACTTTTCTGATAATTTAATAGTAGTTAAAACTTACTGTCACCAAAGCTGGGAAGTTTATCAGAGATGCATAGAAAGTACAGGACTCTGACAAGAGATTACTAATGAATAATCAAACTCATAACAAGTGATTATGTGGAAGAGAACAGTGGTGTCCGACCACGTCCGGACATGTCGGACATGTCGCACAGAGGAAGACAGATGCAAACAGGAATGATAAAGGCAGAGACGCCGCCCATGTGTCCGGGAGGCACACGCTTTAACAGCCATGGTTGGCTGAGTTGCACCTTGCGATACATAAGCTCGTTCGTCCTCTCAGGACTTTATGAGGAAAGTCTCTCAGCATCCTCAGTTTACAGCTGGTGAAACTGAAGTAACCTCCCGAAGGCCACACAACTAAGAAAGTGGCAGAGATTTGAAAGTTTGTCTCCTGACCAGGGGTTTAATCACTCTGCTGGGTTGTGTCTAGAAAAAAAAAAGTCATGGCTTAAAGAGCAAACTAACGAACAAATGGGAGAAGCTGTTTCGGACATAGTGCGGGCGATGAGAGAAGGGAAGGGAAGGGAAGGCATTTCCTATAAATGAGAAGACGTTGGTGGAATAAACAGTCACCTGGCATCTAAAGACACACCAGTAGTAGAGAAGTTCTTTCTTTTTTTTTGCAGAGACATTCTCACTTTATCAGCCTGGGTAGAGTGTCATGGCATCACAGCTCACAGCAACCTCCAACTCCTGGGCTTAGGTAGGTCTCTTGCTTCAGCCTCCTGAGTAGCTGGGACTACAGGTGTCTGCCACAACGCTCAGATATTTTTTTGTTGCAATTTGGCTGGGGCTGGGTTTGAACCCACCACCTACCACTGGTATATGGAGCCAGCCCCCTACCAACTGAGCCACAGGTGCTACCCAGTAGAGAAGTTCTTTAGTCCTTATTTGAGAATCAGGAAGTGTGCACAGACAGGGAAAATGCAGAGCTAAGAAAAAGACAAAGAACTGAGCAATTCTATCTCAACACATCAGCACTATGATGAGATGGTTGAAAGAGGACAGGCCCATCTGGGCTGGATGGATTTGCTCCTGAGCTTCTGGAGACTGTACAGCAGAGGCACCAACTCAAGCATGGGTCATGCAAGAGTGCTGCCTGATGATGGGCAATATGGAGTGGTGGGGACTGTGGCAGACTCAGCTCGTCTGAAAGAATGCTGCCTGATGATGGGCAATATGGAGTGGTGGGGACTGTGGCAGACTCAGCTCATCTGAAAAACTGTTTCAAAGTTTCACTTGATGAAGAGATGCTGCTTACAGTTGCTAGACCTGAATTTTGTTTAGAAGCCAGAAATGTAGTGTATTTATGCAAAGTTTCAAAAGTGTTAAATGTTGCCTACTAAGTTGCATGAAAAATGCACAACCTTTGTGGGTAAAATTTGGCCTGGTCAGTTTGCGGTTTGCTCCCCATGCTTTAAAGGACGTCTTTGCACGTACTGGTCTCCCTGTCTGGAATCTCTGCCCCCAGTTCCTTAACATTCTTCATCTGACAAACTCATCCTCAGCCTTCAGACCTGATTCAGGTGTCACCTACTTCAAGAAGTCTTCTCCATCCTCCTCCCCCGAATGTGTGTTAGTGTCTCGCTCCTCTCTGGGGCCTTGATACCTCGTTTGGAAGTCTGTCCCTGTGCTCACTCAGGTGGCATGTTCTGTCTACCTGTGTCCCTCCTCTCCTGGGTGCTTCTTACCTAGATGCCAATGGTGAAGTGGACGTCTTTCAGTGACCATGGCAGGAAGGGGAAATGACCAGCACACAAACAAGGCAGGTACCAGAGACTCTTTCAGGCAGGAGAAGGGTGTTTAAGACTCTAGTTGATTAACTTGATTGAACATTGATTACAGGACTTTTTGTGGCAATTCTGCTGCTTTAAACCTATCTGTGCATTTAAAAAACCCAGCAGGAAACTTAGCAAGTGCTAAGTTAAAGAGTGACAACAGCAGCCAAAGGCATGGTGTTCAGAAGACGGCAGAGAGGGCCAAAGAGGGCAAAGAGTGAGAAGAGAAAAATGCTAAAGCACCATAGGGAAAATCCCCTTAGGAAGTCTGAACCTGAGGCCATGTGTGGCTGCACCAGGTGGAACTGGGAAGAGTTGGCAAAAGAACTAGAATTGTAGACCTAAAGGCTAACTAACATCAACATAGTGCTTGGTACACATTAGGTGTTTAATAAACTATTGTTGAATGAATCTAGCAAGAATATGGGCATTTGCAAATCTGTAAAGAAGGGGAAAGGTAGGCTGAGGATTAAAAAACAACGATGAAAACGGAGGATGGCTCGGCACCTGTGGCTCAAGCAGCTTAGGCGCCAGCAACATACACCTGACCTGGTGGGTTCGAATCCAGCCTGGGCCCGCCAAACAACAATGACGGCTGCAACCAAAAAACAGCTGGGCGTTGTGGCGGGTGCCTGTAGTCCCAGCTACTTGGGAGGTGGAGGCAGGAGACTTGCTCAAGCCCAGGAGTTGGAGGTTGCTGTGAGCTGTGATGCGACAGCACTCTAGCCAGGGCGACAGCTTGAGGCTCTGTCTCAAAAAAAAAGAAAAGAAAAGAAAATGGAGGATAAAACAAGTAAAGGGATAACAATGAATATTTATTATAAGTTAAAACAAAATGTTTACGTAAATATGGTTGGCTTTGGAATATAAAGGATTATCAATATGTGTGATACAAAAATGCCCTTTAAAAATATGATGCCTTTTGAAACCAAAAAGATGGTAGACGAAAAATGTTTTGGAAATTGAAAAGTATTGGACGAGGGAATTGGGCACAAAACATCTGAACTTGCCAAGCCTTTAAGTCCTGGGGAGAATTCGCACATTAAAATATGAGTCTTCAGTAAATAAAAAAGAAACAGCCCCACACCTAAGGGCTTCTTTTTCACACTATAGGAGGGAAGCAAAAGGGAGGGTGGGTAAAGCGATTTTATCTCTTCCTTTGGCTTCTCCCAGCTGTGTGACCTTAACCTCTCTGTTTCCTCTAGGAAAGAGAAGGGGGTTGTTGCAGGAGTAAGACTGAGCAGCGCCAAGTCTCGGACCTTATAAACACCACCCCCCCACACGAGCTGTTACCATAAACCACTCGACAGAAAAGTCAGGGAGTAGAGAAACTCAAAGCATCTCTATAATTACATGAACTGTAAACAATACCTGCTTGATTTTCCTCTAAACTGGATTTTGTAAGTGACACATGATTCCCTCTGTATCTGAGAAGAGTTTCTCAGAGAAACTGAGAAACGGTTATAAAGTGGCAGCTCGGTCACTGTCCCTAAAATGAGCTTGAAATGGAAGGGAAACTTTGGAATGACTTCTTTTCAGCGGGAAAACAACTTCCTAATGAGAAGTGAGAGGAGGAAGCTGACCGTGGGGGCGGAAGACAGGCCCAGAGGTCAGGGCAACAGGAACGAGACGCAGAGCAAGGCTGGTGGGGCTGATGGGATCTCCTGGTCGTGAAAACATGCAGCTGGGAATCACTTACACTTACTTACAGAGCTGCAGATTTATGGACCTTTTTTTTTTTTTGAGACAGAGTCTTATCCTGAATAGAGTGCAATGGTGTCAGAGCTCACAGCAACTTTAAATTCCTGGCCAAAGAGATCCTCTTGCCTTAGCCTCCCGAATAGCTGAGACTACAGGCACCAGTCACAACACGCTGCTAGTTTGTTTTCTATTTTTAGTAGAGATGGGGTCTTGACTACAAATCAGGTCTGGAACTCCTGAGCTCAAGCAATCCCCCCGCCTCAGCCTCCCAGAGTGTGGGATTACAGGTGGGAACCACCACACCTGGCCATGTTCATGCATCTTAACAAAAGCATTTGAGGGGAATAACCTGTAGACATGCACTGCTTTAGCAGTGGAAAAATACGCAGTTGGAGAAAGACAGTTGACACAGTGGTCAAGTGCATGGGGGGACATCCACAGAGCTGGATTTGGGTTTTTGACTTTGTTGTTAGAGCTGTGTGAGTCAAACATTCCAGTCTCCCAAAGACCCTGTTTCCTCATGTGTGAGGATGGAAACCACCATCTGCTTAAGAGGGTTACGTCCAGGCTGGCAAGTGCGCAGCATCTTTAGGACTCTGGGAATGTCTGGTATTAGTTGGCCTTGACATTACTGCACACAGAGGGAGGAAGAGTTCGTATCTCAATTAATGTTTTCCTCTAGGAAAGAGAAAATAATGAGATGTTCTCGTGCTTAGCACCTGGAGAAAGCAGGGTCTTATTTAACTTACGTCTAGTTAAGTTTTTTTTTTTTTTCTTTTAAAGAGATGGGGTTTGGTTCCATTTCCAGGCTGGAGTGTAGTGGCTCAGCTCACTACAGCCTTGAACTTCTGGGCTCAAATGATCTTCCTGCCTCAGTTTCCTGGTACTAGGACTATAAACACCCACTACCATTTTGTTTATTTCTATTTTTTGTGAGGATTAGGTCTTGGCATGTTGCCCAGGCTGGTCTTAAACTCCTTAAGTGATATTCTCACCTTGGCCTCCAAGTGTTGGGATTAGGGGCACGAGCCCCTGCACATGGCTTTATAAGCAAGTTTTAGTAAGAGAAGTGCTTACGCTTTTGTAAATGAAGGATTCATAATTAATGTATTCTTGACTATCTTATAAAGGTCACTTTTAACTCTGCCTGGGGCATGCACTTTGCTGGGTTAGTTACTTACAAAAAAAAAAAAATGGAAATTTTAAAAATCTCTGGCCTGGGTCAATGGATATGTAACTAATTCAATGAGGAATCAGATTCAGGTTATGAAAATGTGATTTATATGCCTGCTCTTTAGAAAGTACTTTCATCTCTCATATCCATTTTAGTGGCTGTTTTGCACACATCTTGGAGGTAATGGGGAGGCCAGAGATTTGGTGTCTGGCAAATACTTTCTAAAGCATTTCCCTAACAAAGTTTAATGATTCATGTTAAGCTCTGAAGAACAAAGGAAGGGCTGGGTGCAGTGGCTCCCTGGTAGGCTGAGGTGCAGGATCCTTGAGGGCAGGAGTTGGAGACCCGCCTGAGCAACATAGTGAGACCCTCCATCTTTATAAAAATAGAAAAATTAGCCTGACATGGAGGCAGGTGTGTGTAGTCCCAGCTACTTGGGAGGCTGAGGCAGGAGGATCGCTTGAGCCCAGGCATTCGAGGTTGCAGTGAGCTGTGATGATGCCGCTAAACTCTAGCCTGGGCAATGTAGTAAACTCTCTCTCAAATAAAAAAAGAAAAAAAAATCAAGGAAGGACCACAAAATCAGTCCCAGTTCTGAGCAAGCTACTTTTTGGTGTATGGTATTTTCCAGATGCTTTCTGTTGCACAGTCTAAGTTTTCTAAGCGGCTATTCATTATATGGCAAGAAAAATTGAACAAATACAACCCTGCCAGATGCTAATCTAAGTCTCTCCCAAGAAAGCCACAGAATGTCTTTGATGGGGTCATTTAAATGAGCTACATGGTTAATAAGTGTGAGATTTACAAATATGCATGTAATGACTCCCTTTATTCACACTAAATATGGCAGGGAGATGTTCTAGAAGTTGCTAAATCAAGTGGTAAGTGCTCTAGCTGTTTGAATTCACCAGGTTTCTTCTTAATGAAAAGCAGGCGATGCTAGCTGACAAGAAGGCGACCACGTAAAGCAGAGAAGATTCTCAAGTCACTGCACTTTCCAACAAACCCCTCTGTGGGGCATCCGTTCCAAAGCATACGACAGATTCTCTTCTCAGCATACATTTAAAATTAAATTCAGATCTGACCGTACCGCTTTTGCAAGCTTCACACCATGCTCGTAAGTGAGAGGTTTCTCCTTCATATACAGCAAACGGGCCAAAGTTTTGGGGTCGTCACGGAGATCAATCTGGCAAAAAACACACATGTGAAAAGCTCAGTTATTTTTTCAGGCCTTACTAGATATTTTAAACTGTGATAGAGTCTTTTTTCCCATGAATATCTTTGAAGTTATTGAATTTTAAGGAAGCACGTACACCTGCTCATGTTATGTCTGAGAGTAAAGCGATTTCTTTGTCAATGTATACATCAGACTTCCTTTCATTGTCCCCTCCCAAGCAGTTACCCTGGGAGCTGAAGACTCACTCAAGCAATTCTGTTGCTGTCTTGGATGTTTTTGAAATTTTCTATTCATTTCTAAATTCTTCTTTATAGGGCATACAAGATAACTCATCAGTTTTATTATTTTACATGATGCTTTATTGGATCCCAAATTATATTACTCCTTTTTTAATAGTTTATTCCTAGCTCTGAATTCATCTTCTTTTTCTTTTCCAAATAAAAGCTTCATCCTCAAAAGAGCAAACATTTGTTACCTGTGAGGATATTCTAACAAATATGTTATAAGCTCCAGAAGGCAAGTCCTAGAGAGAATTTTTCTTCTTACTTTTTTCCTTTTTTAAAAATTTAATTTTAATTTTTTTCCCTTGGGGTGTCCCACCAAGTTCTTACCAAAGAGAAGTTTTCAAAGGGTTTGTCAAGGAGTAAGCACTAATCTTTGCAAAGGTAGAATTACTTAGAAGATAGCATATATTAGTATATCTGGATTAGGTTTGATAATTTAATTCAAAATCTCACTGTGTACATGAATGCAGGTATATAAAAATGGGTGTGAATGTGGGCACATAGGAGCTTGTGTCTTTTTTTTTTTTTAGAGACAGAGTAGAGTACTGTGACGTCACAGCTCACAGCAAACTCCACCTCTTGGACTTAGGTGATTCTCTTGCCTTAGCCTCCCGAGTAGCTGGGACTACAGGCCCCTGCCACAACGCCTGGCTATTGTTTGGTTGTAGTTTGGTCGGGGCCAGGTTTGAACCCGACATTCTCAGTATATGGGGCCAGCACCCTATTCACTGAGCCACAGGCGCCACCCAGAGCTTATGTCTTTTTAAAATTAAATTATTTCATGATTAGTTTTATGTATCTTTTTTTTCACTTATTTTTTAATGATTAGTTTTATAAGGGCTTATGTCATAAGGATCAGTATGTCTATATATTAGGATTCCATTTCTTTTTTCTTTTTCATTTTGAGACAGAGTCTCACTATGTCACCCTTGGTAGAGTGCTGTGGCATCACAGCTCACAGCAACCTCCAACTCTTAGGCTTAAGAGATTCTCTTGCCTCAGCCTCCCAAGTAGCACTACAGGTGCCTGCCACAACACCCAACTATTTTTGTTGTTGTTGCAGTTGTCATTGTTGTTTAGCTGGCCTGGGCTGGTTTGAACCCATCAGCCTCAGTGTGTGTGGCTGGTGCTGAGCCGAGGGTTCCATTTCTAAGCATATTGCTCAGCTCTACTTGTTTGTGTGTTTTTGCCTTAATTATTTAATGAATGCCCATCTGTTATAAAATCAGCTTGAATCACTCTTAAAGGAGATCGAATATCCTGGTCACATATTTTGGCAGCAGGGATTCAGGAGCCATCAATATAGGCAAACGTTATCATCTGGAATTTAAGGCAAAAAAACTCATTAACACAAACAAATATCTTTCAGGCCTAAAACATAGTCTGATTTATGGATATGTGAATTCTCCCTTGGCTCTATTTCAGTAAATACATGTATGTGTATCTATCCACATCTTCTTTAGGAAATATTTTTCTTTCCTTTATGTTAAAAATATTTTTTCTCTGTCAAATTGAAAACAGAAAGAACATATGAAACAGATAACAATAAATCATCTCGGTGTTATTACAGCCCTTTGTCTCTAGGACAGTAGTGTGGATTTTAAAAGAACTAAGAACCAGTTAAAACTACAAAATGTAGGAACAATGTTTAATACTGTGTTTTGGTGAAAGTGAGTCACTGTTGGAAATTTATGAGACTTTTTTAGCTTTCAAACCACTATGTAGGCTTTTCCCACTATGATTTTGTTTATATCTGTTCTAACTTGTCTAAGATCTGGGAGACCACGGGGCTCAAAGGGCATACAGAATGGTGGATTTCTTCTGGAATCTTCCTTCTCCAAAGTTTCCCTAACGAGTTCCTGTAATCTCGTGCCTATTCTGGATTGCTGGGGTCATTTTGACTCACATCTATTTTGTGATTTTAAAACAACTGTGGATTTCAGATATAAAAAATATTACATAATGGGTGCAATTGACATCCTTACCCTATTACTCTGATTCAGGGCGGCAGAAAGGTGTCTCTTTAAAGAAAAATCCTCTCTCTCTCTCATCTCACTATGTTGCCCAGGCTGGACTCCAACTCCTGCGCTACGGATCTTCCTGCCTCGGCCTCTCAAGTAGCTGGGACCACAGGGGTAGACCTGTACCACTATACTCATCTGCTTGGTTATTTTTTAAAAAGATGGACATGAAATTTAAAGGCCATATCCAAACTTTTTGCTTCATATTAAACAGCTGTATTATCTTTCCAGCCATGGGCTAAGTTAGCATGCACACGGTCAGCACTTCTGTTCGTAGCACTGATTCGTCGCAGACACTTCCATGGCGCTGGGCATGACAGGATATTGGGGAGGAACCAACAGGGCCCTTCCTTCCTCACAGCCCGCCCGCCCCTCGCCGCCTTTGAACCTGGGTCCCTATGAGGACGTAGGGCACGTGGGGCATGCAGTCCTTCAGCTCGGGCACCCACTCCTCCTGGACGTTGTGGTAAGAGGCAGGGTTGACCACAGAGAAGCAGATCAAAAACACGTCCGTGTTTGGGTAGGACAGTGGCCTCAGCTGGTTGTAGTCCTCCTGTGGGGAAAGTAAAAGAGAGTCTGCAGCTGGGTGAGGGGGCAGCGGGTGTGTCCACTGTGTGGAGTGTGACCCACGTCCTCTCCCTGCGCTGGAATCCGGGGGTTCCTTACATACTAGAAATAAAGGCTCTATCAGTCATGAAAACGCTACAGTGTTATGTTAAAGAGATCACATATCACCCTCCCTTAAAATGAACTTAAAAACTATTATAATAGCTTTATTGAGATATAACTTAGGTATCATAAATCTCACCCATTCATTTTTAGTTTTTATTGTATATATTTAAGGTGCACACTGTGATGTTTTGATATATACACTGTAACCAAGCAAATTAACATACCCTTCTCCTCACCCAGCTCCTTTAAAAAACTTTTGTTTTTTAATGGTGAGAGCCCCAGAAATCTACTCTTTTTTTTTTTTTTTTTTTTTTTTAAGACAGAGCCTCAAGCTGTCCCCCTGGGTAGAGTGCCGTGGCATTACAGCTCACAGCAACCTCCAACTCCTGGGCTCAAGCGAGTCTCCTGCCTCCGCCTCCCAAGTAGCTGGGACCACAGGCGCCTGCCACAACGCCTGGCTATTTTTTGGTTGCAGACGTCATTGTTGTTTTGGCGGTCCGGGCTGGGGATTTGAACCCGCCACCTTAGGTGTACGTGGCTGGCGCCTTAGCCGGTTGAGCTACAGGCTCCGAGCCCAGAAATCTACTCTTTTCGCAAATTTCCAGCATACAATACAGTATTATTAACTAGAGTCATCATGCTGTCCCATAGATGTGGAGACTTCTTTATCCTGTGTAACTGCAACTGTGCCCCTAACCATCCCCTGGTAACAGTGGCTCTGCCTCTGTTCCTATGTATTCAAAGGTTCGTCTGTTTAAATGTATAATTCAATAAGGATTATTGGAATTCTTCTGTTAAATTGGAATCCTGTTTTATGTAATACACTATACTTAAATTGATGGGCCATTGACGAAAGCACAGAAATCCCCTCCTTACACAGTTGAAAATTTAATTTAGAATAAACTAACACACAGAAGAAAGAATTGTTACCAAATCTGAGATCACAACATTTGAAGAGATATGCACACTGAGCAAAGCATTTGGGATTTGTTTCTGAACTTACCTAAAGGCCACAGAGTGGCCAGATTAATAAAATGCCAGATTACTTTCTCTCCTAGGACTTTTCAGATCAGAATATGCTCTGGCTGGAGGGTTTCTGGTGCCATAACATTTTTACGTATCTTCTGTTTTAGCGACAGTCAGTGAATACAGAGGAAGATATTGCATCACATAACTCTGGGAGAATGTCAGCAGATGCCTTTTACTGTATGTTAAATATTTTAGGAGGTTCCAGGTAAAATACACTATGGCAATAGAAGGTTTTGTATGTTTTCATAGAAGTTAACACATAAGCCAAAAGTAACTTCATGTGTGGGTGTGCATACACACAGCATATGTATATACACATCACTCCACCACATGATATGTGTGTCCACATGTGCCACGTATAACTCATATGTACGTACACACACACACATATATTTCACGATATATGCAACCAAACTTACACACTCACAATGGTCACACACATGTGTTCATAGAGACAGGTCAGATGCCACTTATTAGGGCCATGACTACTCTTCCTAATAGTCAAAAAATTGTGAAACACATATGTGTTCTTTTCTTTTGCAGTTTTTGGCCAGGGCTGGGTTTGAACCCACCACCTCCGGCACATGGGGCCAGCGCCCTACTCTGTTGAGTCACAGGCGCCGCCCACACATATGTGTTCTTTGCAAAAGAGCAAACCCTCGGAAGTACACAGAGCAGGTGAGAGCTGTTTCTTATCACCTCCCTGACGTGATCTCTTAAGAGTTTTTCCTCTCTCCAGAGAACACTGCTGAACATTGTTCTCCCAAACATTTATATTCATTTATGTATATAATGTACACACATTTATTTGAATTAATTTTACATAGTTCATACTGTTATACCACTTATGTGTTTAAACTTAGTACGTCATAGGTACATTTTTAATATCAACCTTGCTATCTCTCTACTGACTTGAATAAGTGTTTTCATAAGAAGCGAGCACACACATGGGCACACGGACATGCACACGGGTGGGCTGGAGGGAAGTCCCTCAGGATGTTAGTGTGGGTGTCTCTGGTTGGTGGACGCGCATCCATCCCTCTGTTAGCTACTCAAAGTACCCAGAGCATGGGGCTCACTGTGCGTGGCCTCTGCTGTTACTACTGTTAGAGCCTACGCAAAGATTTTAGGTACTCAAGTAAAATGTAATGCATAATGGCAGGGATGCTGAAAAGTAGAATCCTAAAAAATTGACTAGAAAACTAAAAGCACTATTGTGGCTCCTTTACTACACTTCTGTTAAAGCAAATCAGGAGCTGGGTGCACAGCTGAATAAACACTGAGATGAGGAACGGGGCTCTGCTGCACTCAGCTGAGTTGTGCCTGTGATGGAGCAGGCGGTGGGGTTGGCGATAACTCCTCTCTTGGCCCTACCCTCTCCTCTCTATAGCTGGGCCTGAAAACCTTCTCTCCCCTGGACTCTCCACCTCCCTCCAGAGAGAGTGGTTCCCTCAAAAAGCAGCTATAAGGTCATGAGCCAAGAAATCTCCTTCCTAGGCTGTGCTCTGCTCGTGACCCCGCCTGCCCTCTGCCACTGCTGCCCCCCATCTGGATTGTCACAAATAGAGCGGGCACTCTGTTGATTTTTTTCTCATTCCCAGTGTGTGCTCTTTCCACATCAAGTATTTTTTTTCAGATGAATATGAGGGTACAGACCATTAGGTTACACTGTTTGTGTTTGTTAAGTAAAGTCCAAGTTGTAGTTGTGGCCTGCCCCCCCAGGAGGTGTGCCTGCTGCTGAGAGCACACCAATCTCTCCCTTCTTCCCTCTCTCTGCCCTCTTCTCTCTCCCTCCCACTTGAGTTTAATTGTGTTTTTCTCTTGTTCCACATCAACTATTCACTAAATGCTATTGTCTGACTGGGAGAAATGGACTCCACAGGGATCATCCGATGACCTGTGGGCCATTTACTGTCACGATTTTCATTAGCATCACCCGTGGAGCTTATAAAACATTCTGGTGGCCTGAGAATCAACTACCTGCCCTGACTGCCTCCCTACGTGGGGTCAATTAGTTCAGAATCTCTGGAGAGTGTGCCTGGGCAGCTGGTAGTTCTGATTTAATTGGCCTGGAGTTGAGAGCAACTAATTTCAATCACCATTATCACTGTGGCTGGAAGGCAGTGCCTTGGAAATTTCAGTGTGCACACCTCTGGTGGGTGGGCATGCACTGGTGCAGCCTCTTGTCATTCTCCAGTTAATGACCTGAGGATGTGTCTGAGGGCATATTACTAAAGCCCAGGCATTGTTTTAAGCACTTACGTGGATTCTCACTGAACCCTCACAATGCCATTGGAAAGACAGTGCCATCAACATCCACTTTTTCCTAGGAGAGGAAGTTACGGTTTAGAGAAGTTCCACAGTGGACCAATGTCACCCAGGTAGTAGATACTAGCCTTAATCCAGCTCCAGCTCTTAATCGTGACCACGCTATTTGCCACAGATCGGAATTTTAAGTGGTAGATGAAGTACTTTCTTAAAAACTCGAGTGTCTAGGAACTTGAATATAAGACTCATAGGTTACCCAAGAATCTAAGAACTGTTCAGACCCCCTGGTGTGTTTGTCTATTTGGTGGCCTGCATTTGCTTGAAATTGCCACCAGATGGCAGCAGACACCGTATATTTAAAGCATTATAGCTGAAACCCCAAGTAAAACAGTCTGGAGAAATGTCACGCCTAGCTATGTATGGTAGGAAGAAATGATTGGTGTTCTGAAATGATTATGTTTATTTGATTCTTTCCCCAGTGGCCATCAAAGGATTTCTGTTTACATTTATGGAAAAAGTAGCAAGACCCAGGGTTGCCAGGCCGACTCCAGGTGGGAAGGTGAGAGGTTTGTGTCTCTGATGGTGCCCTCTCATCAGGGCAGCCAGGGCCTGCAGCTCCGTGATTCCGATGGCATCAGTTACTGGGCTGCACCATGCGCTCCCCACTCGGGATCTCTTCTGTAGATACCTTAGTCCTGCGGTGTGATTCCATTTAAAAAGATTTGGTGCTGACTGAATACACAGCACCAGCAAGGATGCTGTATGAACTGTACAAGGTGAATAAGAACAGGCAATCCATGTGGGGAGAGAAAATGAAGTTCACGAAGTTCACAAGACAATTAGATTTATGTAGAAGTGAGACAGGAGAAGTTTCTCCTGGTCGTTAAAATAGAATAACGTGGGAGATTTATCTGACTGAGTTAGGACAATAGAATTTCCAGGTTGGAAGAGGCCTTAGACCGCAGTTGGTGCAGTGGTTTCCAAAGTATGGTCCTCAGAGGCCCTGGCAGCCCGGGGAGTGTGTCAGAGATGTGTGTTCTCAGGCACCCCTCAGCTCCCCTGCAGCTCAGGCTCTGGGGGAGGCGCTGCTCTCCAGGGCATTCTGATCTGCTCAAGTTTCAGAACAGCATGTTACTCTTTCCTCTTCCCTCCCAGCCAAATTCATAATTTAAGAAATCAATGTTGGCTCAGTACCCGTAGCTCAATGGTTAGGGCACCAGTCCCATACGCTGAGGCTGGTGAGTTTGAACCCTTCACGGGCCTGCTAAACAACAATGACAACTACAACAACAATTACAAAAAATAGCTGGCACTGTGGTGGGCGCCTGTAGTCCCAGCTACTTGGGAGGGTGAGGCAAGAGAATCACTTGAGTCCAAGAGTTTGAGGTTGCTGTGAGCTGTGATGCCATAGTACTCTACCCAGGGTGACATAGTGGGACTCTGTCTCAAAAAAAAAAAAAAAGAAATCAATGTCTAGACAGATTGATTTAACCAGGACCACAAAGTAATACCTTTCAAGAGGGCCCGTGCCTAGGCTGTTGAGGGCTTGCCATTGGCTGTAGCCATGAAGCACTGCAGAAAGGG